GTTTCAGTTTCTCTCTCGGCTGGTTATATAACGTATACATATTATATGGTAGTCCCGTAGTCCCCATGATCAGATGTGTGGACTTTGTCAAAAATGATGAGGCTGAGCTTTTGTGCCCTGGTGACTTCGGACATGATATCTTTTGTTTTGTGCAATAAAATCTGATGTCAAAACGTCATTGAGCGACTTTCGATTTCAATAAAAACGTATTTTGTGCACTTTGGTAAAATACTGGCGTTCAAGTGAAAGGTACCACGTTTTGATTGAGTGAAAAATCTTAACCTTTGTGGCTTTACGCTTTTTCCTTCAAGGGAGTAATGTTAAGTAGTCTAAAAGTAGGCCATGTTATAAAAATAATATTTTGGTGCTTCAGTTAGCATTCACAGCACAAACACACACACACACACACACACACACAATGGGCTGACTCACGTCACGCTCAAAACTGTGCCTGAACAACAACGGGGAACTGCTGCTTTTTCTTTCCTGATCCTTACTATTGTCATTTTCCTCTACTTCTTTTGTATGTTTGTCACTCTTCTGTGACCTGCTATTTCCGGGGTGCCTTGATAGTCAAAGCAGACCTTGTGCTGTTGAAGCTAGAAAGGTGAGCAGTCCAAGTCTGATTCCCTGTAAAGACTTCTCTGAGGAGACCCACCCCTTGGCGCTCATATGACCTTATGCAGTTGCGAGCGCCGTAAAACCCTCTACTATAAAAAAAGAAGACGTCAGCTTGGCTTACACTTAGAGCTTCTTGTACTACTCGATACTCTTCAGTCCTCGAGCCTCACGGGCGCCCGCCATCAAATTTTGGTTCATTGGACTGATATTGATATATATATAGATCTGTCTGGCGATGCCAGATGTTTTGCCTACGGGCAGAGGTCTCAAAGTTCCTTTGAAGTTTCACTAGGCCGCTTTAAAATGTAATTCCCAAAGCCTTAATAAATAATCGCATTTTCATACTCAGCGCAGATAAGGAGCAAATCGGTGACAAAAGCTAGAAGTAGGCCAAAGTCACCGCAGAGACATATGTGGGACAGATTATCAAGCAGCCAACGAGTGTGCGCCGTGCACTTTGTGTAGTGCGTACATCTGACAGTCAATTCTATGGCGGTAGAGCGAGGCAAGTCTACATTTATCTAATAAGGACCATACAACTCAGACAGTTGGCTGATGGTGGTAGGCAATGTAAAGACGCAAATACTAATACTATGAATGGTGCTCTTTTTCGCGCACTGGCAAAACCTGGCGGTAAGCGGGGTTAGCAGTATAAGC